TTAGTCTGTGGCGATTGGACTCTAATACCATAATCAAGATGGATGCGTGGTGCTTAATATCTTTAATATCTGTACCACCTTTGCTTCTGTTTGAATCGAGTCTTCAAGTTGTTATGCAAAGGAATATTTCTCCATTACGAGAGTGCTACAGTTCGGCCTTTCTCAAAAGCCTTTGCCCCTCCGCAAGACCCGTAGATCTGGTGGACACCTTTCAACAAGACATGCCACCAGAGATTAGCAAGCGAAAGCGGGGCAGGAAAGGCGGTGTTCGAGACCGGGTTTCGCAAGAGGCCTTCCTAACCGTTCCTCTCGACTCTCATTACTGGTAATGCTCGATCTCTGAACAACAAAAATGACGAACGTGGGACGTCGGAATGAACATAGACAAGCCTCCATATTATGCTTCTCCGAGACCTGGTTCCCTGCAAATACCACCAATGCTAGTGTAGACCTAGAAGGGTTCAATTTTTGCGTACAGACAGGAATAGCTTCTCGAATAAAAGTCATGGTGGAGGTGTGTGCGTACATCAACAATCGATTAATAGGGAAAACATTTAAAATTTCAACATCAGCATCCATCTACTTGGACGAGTTGTCCATAAGAGCTTGCTCTAAAAGATTAATTCCATCTTTTTAGACAACACACATCCCTTGTTCCCTCAAAGAAAAAACACCAGTCAGAAGTAAAAGACTTAGGATTCTGATCTGTAACTAAGAAAAATACAGAAAGTAATTTTTACCATTATCAATCAAAATTCTTCCATCTTAACCATCTTGTGTTAGTATTCATATGACCTTAGAGCATGCATCAGAAAAACATTGAGTATGTATCAGCTTAACATTAATATTGTTTACATTGCTGCTCATTTGTATTATGCATGTGATTGTAAGCCTGCGTGTGTGTGCATGTGTGTGTGTGTGTTTGAGTGTGTATGTGTTTGTGAGTGTGTATGTGTGTGAGAGCGTGTGTGTGTGTGTGTGTGTGTTTGTGTGTGTGTGTGTGTGTGTGTGTGTGTGTGTGTGTGTGTGTGTGTGTGTAAAACACCAAATAAATATGCCAGGATCTGGACAATAAAGATATATACTATCTCATCTTATCTTATCAGTAGTAAAACTAGAAACAAAAACAAAAAACAAAAAAACAAGTCGGGGTAAAGTTCTTGATAATAGATCACAAATGTATTAACATGACAATATTATAACTCTGACCATACGTTTGATCAATCCCTGTGTGTGCGATAGCTGGACTCTAACACAGAAAGGAGACTGGACGCCGCTGAATTAAACTGGTATTGAAGGAGAAAACTCAGAATTGTATAGATAGAGAGGAAAACAAATAGGGAAGAGCTCAAAGGCAGGTAGTAAAAGATCTATATACAGAACCACCAGGAAGAAATAAGTGATGTTATTTGGCTACATAAATACATGTTTAAAAACTGAAGAAACTGCTGGTGTGTAGAAGGATAGAGAGAAAGAAGAGCAGAAAAGGAAAGCAAAGAACAACACACAGAGATGGCCAAAACAACTTTGCAACAAATAACACAATATCAAAATCCGAGCTGATCAGAAAGGCTGACACACAAAACGGAGTAGAGGTATCTTGTTCGTCAATGTCAGTTCCAGACCCGACACTTGAAGAAAAAGCACAGGCTACTGACAATATTCACGTAATCGGTGTTATCTTACTATAACTACATAGATCTATCAGCAAATAACCCTGCAGTATCCTAATCACTATCATAATAAAGGCATACGTTTTATACAGTAATACGTGAAAGCATTTAATTTTTATAGTATTAATAAGAGGTACAATGAATCTTATCACAAGAATTAAAGGGTTTCCTTTTCAAGGTTACTATTTTTCGTTGCTACACTTTCGATGCAGTTTGATCGAATTTTGCAAAATATTATATTTTATATAATTAATTACTGTTTTTCTATAGCTTCAGTATAGCACCACCAGGCATAATACGCTCAATAATACAATTTCTGGATATTTACTTTATATAAAGAGAGAGAGAGAGAAAGAGAGAGAGAGAGAGAGAGAGAGAGAGAGAGAGACAGAGACAGAGACAGAGACAGAGACAGACAGAGACAGAGACAGAGACAGAGACAGAGAGAGACAGAGACAGAGACAGAGAAAGAGAGAGGGGGGGTAAGAGAGCGAGGGGGGGGGGGATAAGAGAGATAGATGGGATACAGGAAGAAAAGAGGAAAAGAGAGAGAGGAAGAGAGAGAGAGCGAGAGAGAGAGAGAAAGAGAGAAAGAGAGAGAGAGAGAGAGAGAGAGAGAGAGAGAGAGAGAGCGGGGGGGAGGGAGGGAGAGAGAGAGAGAAAGAGAGAAGCTAACAAGCACTTGATTGTGGTAATGTACAAAGTACGATTAGAAAATATAATTCAATATAAAGACATTGAGACAGCCATAGTATTCTTTTAAATGCCAGGTATATTTAGATTTTTAAAGCCCCTTTCGATAAATATTTATATCATACAGTATAGCAAGTGAGCTTTCAGCCCTGCCTGTCAAGGCCAACGTGTGCTGAGAATGATATTAAATCTCAGGAGAAAGATAATCAATAAAAGCTCAGAAATAAAACTCTGCAGTCTCATGTGGGCGTCAGCGACACAAAGGCGCCAGTATTTAGAGCAATACAGTCAGTTATCCCCATAAGATATGGTTTGTCTGTAGTCTTCTTCTGATGAGGGTCAGGCTGCTGCTCGAGAGCTTTCAGCGACGACAACAATAAACAACACCCCCCCCCCCCCCCACACACACACACACACCTAAAAGCAAAGCAACAAAACCTTGATCACGAACAATGGAACAAACTACCTGGCTTTCAATGAACAGCAACAACAAAAATCAGAGCAACAAAGCTTAAACCTCAAACAGTGAAGCAAACTACCTGACTGGTGAAGAGCGCCCGGAAGTAGCTGCTGCAGGCTGACATGATGTTCCGGTGGATGGGGAAAAGTGCCGATTCCACCCGGATGACAGCGTCACACAACTCTCCTTGCTCGCGGAGCTCGGCCAAGACATTGCATGCCTAAAACGGGGAGGGGAGGGGGGTGCCGTAGAAACCCAAGATAGTAGGCTATTAAATGATATTATAATAAGGGCCGTTTATAAGTAAATTTTTGGACCAAGCATGTTTCGAAGCAGCCCCCTCTCCCCTCCCCCTCTACTTTCCGCTCTTTCCTTTTTCGTTGTATGTACCTCTTTTGGGTTTGTTATTCTTTCGAAGTTATTCTTTCGAATTATTAACGGGCCCTTTTCTGGCAGACAATGATCGTCATCATCATCCAGTGCTTGATCTGGGCAGACATCGGCGATGATGGTTCTCCATTCATTCCTTTGCTCGGGTGCTCTTAAAAAAATACTTTACCTTGATCTTTCCTTGTTACTCATTTGTTTAGGTTCCCTAAGTAGGTTGCTGTGGGCTAACCTTTCCTCGTTTGCCTTCAATTTAGCCAGTGAGAGCTAGATGTTCAAAACCTTAAGGTGTCCCAAAAACTGCATTTGTCGTTTCCTGATTTTTTTAACATGAGCGTCCCATGTGTGTTTTATCAAGTATTACCTCATTAATTTTATTTCTTTTCCTTTCACGATAATTTTGTCATTCACTTTGAGGACAGGAGATGTTTTATTTCTTTTGATTGTTTTACTGTATAAAGAGGACTAGTGACATAACACACCCTTGCCTCACTCATCTTCTAATCTGCATATATTCACTGTATTCTCCATTAATTCGAACAGCAGCGCTTTGGTACCAGTAAAAATTATTGATAATTCTTAGATCTTTTTCATCTATGTCTAGCTTTTCCAGTATTTTAAATGGCTCAAATAGCTCATCATAGCTAACTTTAGTGAACGCCTTTGAATAATTTATTAAGAATAAATACTGATCTTTCTGTGCTTCAGTAAATCTTTCTATTAACATTGTTAATGTGAATATAGCATTTCTTGTGCTTTTGTCAGGAACAAAGCCGATTTGCTCTGGTCCTATACGTTTTCTCATATTTCCCATTAGTACTCGCAGCAATATTTTTTTGTAAAATGACTCATAAGTTTAATTGTTCTATGCATATAGAAGCACCTGGTGTTTTAGGTAAAGTTATAAAAACTGACGTCGTCATATCTTCTGGAATCTCACCGCTGTCACGAATAGAATTTAATAGTTGTGTTGTTATTTCAGTGCCTAATTCTTTTCAAGCGCGACACTCACTTCAACTGGGGTAGTCTGGCCCTGTGGCTTTTCCTTGTTTCATTTTCCTGATGGCAGCTTGAACGCCTGCTTTCAATATTGGTGGTCCATTAATGTATTACTTTGCTTCTCTATTATCTTTGAAAAGTTCGTCTATGCATTATGACCATCTGTTTAAGACATTTCCTCTGTCATTTAAAATATCTCCTCCTTTGCATCTTATGCATCCTATATTTGAGCATCCTTTTACGTGTATCCCTCTAACTTCTTAGATTTTGGAATACATGTATTTGCTGTCCTTGTTTTGGTTCTTCTCTATTTGTTGACACTGATCATATATCCATGTTTCTTTTGTTTAGATGCATTTTTTTTATTTCCCTATTTACGATACGATACTTTTCCACATTTATTTACTTTTGCCTGTTTTCTGTCTTCCATTAGTTTTAATATGTCCTGGGCAATAAATTATTCATTTGCTTTTGTAGATTTCTGTGGGATAATTTCTTCCATTATATTTGGGTCTTTCATTTTCCTCCACAGTTTTTCCGATTTAGTAAAAGTTTCCAGTACTTGATAGCAAGGCATACATGTATAAGGAAGCCAGTCTAGTGGTCTTTGCAAAGAGAGAAAAAGAACTAGCAGGAAAAGGGAGATCCTGCTTAAAGAAACGGGTCCATACATGAAAAAAAATAAAGACAACCTCCTCGGTGTAACAAAGCTGGACGTATTCGTCTCTCTCTCTCTCTCCCTCTCTTTCTCTCTCTCTCTCCCTCTCTCTCTCTCTCTCTCTCTCTCT